AAATCAAAGAAATTATCACTAGTGGATGATTATTCATGATTGATCTTATGTAAACTATTCTCCGTGAAACTATTCTCTGTGTGTACTTGTTTCGCATTAATACCTTACCCTTGGAGCTAATTGGAAGCTGGTATAATGATATAATTATTATGATAATACATAATGAAGATGATAGATACTGATGTGATTATAAACTGAATTGACACGTGTGAGGTAACAATTGGATGTATTACTCATGTGAATATTCGCGTTATATGTAATTATTAATTAGTGAATAAATAGATCTTATGTTACTCTATAATCTTTAGTTTAATTCTCATGATTTATTTTACATATTTATAAAGATATAAATCAATTGAGTAATTCATTTTCCTCAAAAGTTTTCTAATTCAATTTAACATTGGATTAAACCATTCTGCTGTTTATCAGAAGAGTAGATTTCTTAAATTGATTCATTTTATACAGTTAGAGAAAAACTCACATTGGAGCAAAAGACTGAAGATGGACAAGTTAAAATTATGAAAAATTAAAATGCATTGTTAAGTTCTTTTTTATCTGCTGAAGAAATATGTGGTTTATTGAACAAGTATTATATCAATGCACACTTATTTTCGATTGATAATAATTCGTTAGTTAATGTCCATCTTTTGAACTTGATTGTCCATTCACTGGTGTCTTTACCTTATTGTTTGGTGATTGATCCAGTTTATTTCAGCTACTGTGACTAATTTTTTTCTACTGATGGTTGAAATCCAACTGATAACTGTTTGAGTATAAAAAATTTTTTCTACCGTCAATTAAATATACCAAATTTCAATAAACATTATTTTTTCAAGCTTAAAGCATAATATCTTAATTGAAAAAAAAAAAATCTTTTTTTTTATATTATTTTTTCTCTATACTTCATCTCTAAAACTACAAAAATTCGTTAAGAATTAATACAAAATCAGATGGATAATATAAATAATGTATATTTTTGTAGATATTTTATGAAAAAAAAAATAATTTTAAAAAATGGGATAAAAACCTGTTCTTCTAATTGACACAATTTTTGCAAAACCTGTATAAGAACCCTTGAGATACCCTTTTATGTCTCCCGGGCGTGTTCTTTTACTCCTAAACTACCCTATTTCAGAGGAAGTGAGAATTAATAAAAAAAAAGTGGTAGGGTTTACATTCTAACCAGTTGCTCATTCATAAAAATTGACGCATCTTCCTGCCTTTATTCTTAAGAATTCAACCCTCGAACCTGAACCAAGTCAAGAAGATGCACGCATTTATTTTTCACTCTTTCTACTTTGAAACCACCCTATCCTATCCTAAAGACTGCTTTTTTGTATTCAATTTCTGTGACCCCTTTAAAGGGATTTTATTTTCACTCCGATATAGAAAGGGTTGTTTGGCTCGTTTGGAATTTCACTGTACTGTATATCACGTAAAAAAAAGTAAAACTGGTGAAATGTGAATTCAGAGGAAAACAGCAGGGAAAAGTGAGGTTGGCAGAGGTGAGCCAGACGACCGTAAGTATTAAATAAATCTCCTTAAGCGGATTAGGGGTTGGCTTTCCGGTATTTTAACGCTGCGTTTTCCGCGACCTAACGTCAGATTAGCCGGACCCCAAACAGATTTTTTCCCATTCTCCAAAAACACTCCAAGTGTCAAAAACACAAAGTTCAGTAGATTCTCTCAATTATCTCATGTTACACGGGATAACCCTTCAAAAAACAATCTGACTATTTAACTAAATACTCAACAATAATCCAAACATTAGTTAAATTTTTCAAATAATTAGTTCATTAAAATATTTTTGAATAAACAGAACACAAGTAAAAAAAATGTTACATTTAGTTTTTAACAAAAATTGTTTAAAAGCAATAAATCATAAATTTGATCAAATTCAGTTCTCTGATGTTTCTTAACATAATGTGTCCGGTACAGATGTTATTGAAATATCTTAGTGTTATGTATATTGAGTTATTGAAAGCTTTTGTTAATGATAATGAAAAATTACATTAATTGGTAATAATAAAATAATAATTAAACTACTTTTTACAATGTTTTTTACATAATTTAAAATTATTCGAGAAAAAAAGTTTCAGTTGAACCACAATAATTTATTTTGGCCTAAAACTTCATGGGTCATACTCAAATAGTTCTTTAAAAGTAATATTAATAAATAATTGTGCAATACTAATCCTTAAGAATATTTGAATTCATCAGAAAAAGCAAAATTCTTGAATGTTAAAAAGAATAAATAATTAATACATAGAAAATGCTATCAAGAAATTAGGACATTTTTAGACGTAATATTGAAAATTTAATTCTTGATGAATGATTCCACGTGCTTAACAAGAGAATACACAATTGATATAAGAATTTGAAAAATCATTAAATTTTTAATCGCATCCAAGTAAGTTAACTAAAGTTTAGCAGTAACTAAGCACGCGAACAAAGTCCACTTATGTAGACCACGAAGTTGTTCTCCAAGTGGCAAAGCATTAAGGCCAATTTCCTTACAGATAGTTCTCCTCTCTTTCTCTTTCCTTCTATCTCTTTCTATTCTGCAAGCTCACAAGTTCTTCTATTATCTCTACATTAGTAATTCAAAGTCATGCTTTATCGCTATCCTAAATGACTTAAAACCTTGCCACCAATCAGTTCTACCCTCTTTCCTCCACGAAGCACGCGAATCAACACAGTTCATTCGTTTTCATGTCTTGACATTTACAGCGGCGCCAAGTAAATATGAGAGATGATAATTCGCCAATGAAAATTGGAAGCAAGACGTTGGATAAGGCAAGACAGAGGCAATTCTCCCATACTATAAGGACTTTATCTTATTCAAGCGCACCCCCGGAAGCCATCGTCTTCTCTCACCCTCGGCCGGTATTCGCCGTTGGCTAAATAGCTAACTTCGCGCAACTATCCCAATAGATTATGATTATTGTGGAGGAAAGCTCTGATTTATGCAATTATCATAAATTTCCCCAACGTTCCCAAGCTATTCTGCCATCTTCCGTATGCTCAAGACGCCTACCTACCTTCCTTACATTCTATTCACTGAATTTCTATAGAAAATTATAACTCCACGTCTTCAAATTTAATATAAATATTCTTCCAACTTACATTCGATTCTCCTGATCAATAATATCTTCATTCTTTTCAGTTCATTACCCAAAACCTATTGGTTCGTTTACATTTCGAAATGTTTCAAAATCAAGTTAAATCTTCAATAGTCTATTAATCGTTTGATTACTCAAGAAAACTTTATCACTTTGAAAACTATTTGATATCATAAAAGCTCATGTTTGTTAACTAATCCACAGTTTTTTTACTTATCAACAAGTGGTAATTTTTGTCGATATCATCTTCAAATGCTATTTTATCACTACTGAATACTGAAAATCCTTCGTTATCCTTAGAAGCTCAAAAAGCTCACTTATCATGTGTAGGTGTAGCAGAAACCTGCATTATCAACTTTTAAGCTCCACCAAAAGATGGTATACGATACCTGTATTACCGATAAAAGCTCTGGCGAATTGCAGAGTCCTCTACAAAACATTCTTCGAAGCTTTATCTCTGATGTTGAGACTGAATTAAACACCATACCCCCATGCCTCGAAGCTCGATATGCGTACAAACTTTGACAACTTCCCCGCCGACAGCTGTCGACAGAAACTTGTTGAGAAAGTTTAAAAATCGATAGAACTCCAACGAGCTACACGTTAACTAAACGTCAAGGGAAATATAAATCCAAGTAAAGTCCATTGATAACTTATTCAAACTTAATTAGAATAATCTCTATTAATTTTCTATAATTTTAACTTATTAAAAAGTTTCTCAACATCCATATCAAATGCGATTAACAATTCATGCAAACAGTTTAATTCATTTAACAAATATTTACGAACTAATTAATATCAGTCTTCTTTTTAATTAAAAGTAGTGAAACTCAATGTATCATCAGCCATGCTCAGTATATTTATAAAGTTTAATATTTTAAGTAGCATCAGTATTTAATGTTTATAAATTAAATTATTTTTAATTAATTAAAACTCTTTAAGCAATGATAAATTATTTAGATTGTTTTTTTATTAAAAAAAAAAGATATTCATAAATGATTAATAACTAATTATATGAATGCCTATTATGATAACAAAGTTACTTAAAGAATTTTTTAATAGTTAAAACGAGAAAATTTTATAAAAGAATCATAAATTCTCAGTGTGAATTGAACTGTATTTCTTATGAGCAATAACTCTAGCTGTGCAGCCCTAAACGATCAATAGAAAAAAAAAATTCGACAAACTTCGCGACAAAATAGATCGTCAGCGGTTTACGTGGCTACAACCATTCTGCTTTTATGCCTTTTCTACTTCCTCCAAGTCGACGATAAACTTTTTTTACCTACCATATTTTTATCGTTTATTTAACTCAAACTTTAACCATCCTACTTTGAAATAAATCATATTAAATGTAAATTCAAAATGAAGAAGATAGAAAGTTTTACCAAAGTCAATTAGATGAAAAATAAATGTCGACATCTAGTGTATATCACTTTCGAGTATGAAGTACTACTATTCCCCGTTCACGATCATCTACTCAGTAATTATCGGTTGGTAAATATTTGACGATACCCTAGGGAATGAAAACGTGCTTACACGAATAAAGAAGACGAATTTATAGAAGAATATCTACTTGTATTTGATGTATGTGTACTTCAATATCTACACTTATGTTTCACTTTTAAAGATAAAATAATTTATAAAACGATCTAGTTACATTCCCTGTAGTAAATCATTCATTTATTTTCATTTCACCTTGGATTTATTTCATTTTCCATTTCTTTTTTATTCCGCTTATTTTTTATTCAAATAAATGTCGCTTAGAATTCATTATCGCAAATGAGTTGAATTAAATTGAGGTGCGTTTTCCATTACAATAGAAAAACGTTCAACCAGACATTCTGAATTTGATAGTATCAAAAAAAAAGTACTTACCTTTTTAGGCGTAGGATGTAGAACAGTAACTGGAACTTGTCGAGGGGTTCTTGTCAGTTGTTCACAGCTTTCAGGTATTCTCTCGCTTCGACTGGACGGTAACTCCAATAGATGTTGAATTGAATGATTTTGAGCTATTTTTTTCGCCGCCATCCTATAATTTTAATTTATATTTATAACGGTTATCATATATATTATATCAAAAGTATTCTATACTAACATTTGAAACAATTAATGATGACAATATAACTCTCTTGTTGAGATTATTTAATTGAAATAGAGCAGCGCGCTTGATCAGAGTGTATGCCGCAGTACAAATACATAACTGTCCACGTGTTTGAGTAGCTTGCCATACAGTTCGATAAGTGGCACTACAAGTTTACTCAACTGGGAGAAATGTAAATTTCTTGTTTGGAATAATGTTGCAAGATGAAATTGAATTTACGTGCTTTTTTAATTATGCTAAAAGGACTGCCAAGATGATATCAAAAGACTAAAAAGAGTGACGTAGATTTCCTTTGGATCTTTTTGATTTCTGTGAGTGTGGGAATCAATAAAGTTATCATATACGTAGCACTGATTTAAAAAGAAATCAACTAGATGGGAGAAAATCCTATGCTGAATAATAATATATCAAGATATGAAAAAAGAAGGTTCAATATAGTTGAAGAAGTCGTAATATATACTGAAAGAAGGATTTATTGAAAATAAGAATAATTTATTAATAGTTAATAAATATGTTATTTAAGTTAAGAAGACAAGTAAATATAGAAAAATGATTTGTTAAAGGTTAGTAAATCTTATTTCCTATGGAAATTTAACAATTGATTTAGTAGGAAGCAAGAATGCCCCATTTCTATAGAATGTTAAATTACGTTATCCTCACCTTTGTTTAGTAATGATATCAAATGACATTCGATTTTTTCATAATAAAATTCATTGACTATTAATTATTTTATGTTTGATATTACTAAATTGTTATTTAATCATACAACCATTGTTTCAGCTCAAAAAAAAATTTTATGCTACCCAATATCTATTCACGTAAAATTAAAATCAAAAATGATTTCTAATAAATGACTCTCACATAAATCCGTTTGTCAGTGTATATTTTATAGTTTGTTATTATAAATTTGTTAACAGAATTTCATAGTTAGAAGCCGAAATACTAAAAAAGTTCACCCTTCTATTCATTAGATTTTTTATTTTTAGATCATAATTTTCAATCATTTTTTTTCATTATACGTGAGTATTGAATTAAATGTGAAAACTTATTGATTAATTAAAAAATAAAGATATCTGATCTGATTAAAATTCACTTCAGTCATTATCTTAATTATATTTTCAATAAAAATTTAGGAAACTAATTTTAAGAAGGATAAGAAAGAAAATGTGTTAAATATAGAAAAAATCATACCTTTAAAAAAAATTAATTTCTTACATTTGATAAAAAAATATTATTTTCTTTTGATGTTTGTGCTAATAATTACTGAAATTGTATGTAAACTAACGATAAAATACAACGATTCAAGAACTTTTCTATTTTAAAAACCTGACTTTATTTCAGAGGATATATTTACTAACGTTCATTTACTCTGATTGAATTTTTTATTTTTATCTAATAATGTTATTTTTAAGCAATTTTATTTCCTTTGACAACAACCTGACATGCTTTTATTTTCAATTTTACCTTTAGATAAACTATGTGATTATAAATTATAATATATATTATAATAATTTTCGTGACATGACTTTATAACTGGTTATTGTATGTGTGATCTATGTACTGCTATAACAGATTAACTAACCAGATAAAGAAAAAAGTGCCAAGTTCATTTTTTATTATTAATCCAAAGCTTTAATAATTAATTTTATTGAACATTTTGTAGTTTATAAAAAGAATTAATTTTTTTAATAGTTACACATTTTTCATGGTACAACGAAGGTGAACAATATCACCTTGACATGGTTTCCTGAAAATACTGCAAAATAATAAATATTTGCTAATGAAAAAAATTATTGTTTATTCCACTGGTGATCAATGTTTCACTTTAAACTTACTCTAACAAAGGTATATAAAATAATGAAGAGTATTGCGTTAATTATGAGTCTAATATATAATTTAGTATATTGTGTTTATTTATTTTTATTACACGTTTATAATTGTTTTTTAAACAAAGGAAGTAACTCAACGGATGATCTTCTGTATATAACCCTCGTTTATGTGCAGCATAACAGCTAAATTAAACCAATTACTTATTATTATTAAGTAACAGATTATAATTCACACTTTTAATTTTAAAATAAAAAATTATTATAAGCAACAATAACTTCTGCCAACCATGTACGAATTAAAATGAATAATATTCTTATTTATGTTCAAATATATCCCAATATATATAAATATTTTATATTCAAGTTTTGTATACTTCATAGCAAAGTTTTTGTACTTTACTTGAAGAAGGTACCAAAGCTAATATATAATAGTGGAACTATTCAAAAATGTTACCATTTCATTCGCAAATAATAATAAAAAAAAATTTTTATAAAGTAGTCTATGTAGTTTTTTAGGAATTTTTAATTTAAGGCGCCTCGAGCGGAAAAATATAGGTATATAAAAGTATATGGACCTTTGCGCACCAGTTTTAGGCAAATAAGTAGATAAAAAAATGAAATACCTACAGGAAAAGATTCGCGCAACAACAATCTATGGAATGAAACGAGATGAGGACGATTGGTTGAAGAATAAGCAAAATATCCGAAATTAGAAGTTTAAAGTGATTTGACAGATTGTTTTTCATATTTCTAACTCCTACTTGTTTACATATGACAGGCTCATAAAGAGGTCACATGATATTTTTTCTGAAACTGTACTATAATTCCATAAGTGCTGATTTCATTATATTTTACATAACCTCCTTATGAATTGATAAAAAAATCAATTTTGAATTGAAAATTTATCAAAAATTATAAGGGTGAAGTCAATTGAATATTCAATCAATATATTTTCATCGGTGGTAAAAATATAAGAAGACGTTGAAAAGGTAAAAAATTAATAAATCAATGAATTTAGTTTAGAAAATCAAAAAATTTTGAAAAATAAAAGAAAAACTTTCAACTCAAATGAAAAAAAATTTATTCATTTGTCATTAATTATTTATAAAGATGTCAATACTAAATAACTTTGCATCACATTATCATCTTTGAATAATGTTTAAATTGAACTTGAATTGTTAATGAAGCAGTTCTGAGTATGCTTTCGTTGCTCCTCCTGAACACCTCGATACAAATGAAACTTCAAAATTATTTACTGACTAATTGTCGTAGAGTAAATTTCCATAATTTTGTTTAACTTAGTGATACATTGTAATTTCGGTAACATTGAATATACCAAGAAGAAGAAGTTCAAATTCTTACACTGGTATCACTGAAGCAAGCATGCTTATAAGGAAAATTTGTGAAGCTTTCTAATTAAAAATAACTTCCCCTTATTTTGAAATCTGAAGCAACCGATTAAGATAATATTTATGTAAAATTTACAATTTTCTTCTATATTATAGCGATAAATTTCAATTTTTAAGCATTTTTAATATAAACGTAGATCAGCTTGCAACATTTTTCTAGTTTAAAGAGTCTCAAACAAAACAATTTCATGCAAGAAATTAAATAAATTTTAATAAAAATATTTCCCTTTTTCTCATAAACGCTATTGAATTCAGGCTATCCAGGGTTCGTTAAATTAACAAGAAAGAAAAAAAATATAATTATTAATAATTGATTAAATAACTAAAATTAATAAATGTTAAAGAATTTTTGATTGAGCGCCATAAATGATGTACATGGGGTTAAATGAAGAAATAACTGAAATTGGATAAAAATAGAAAATATAAATATGAAACATTTCATGTAAAAAATAAACTTTTTCAAACCCACATTTCAATATTGTTTTTGTAAACAACGCCTACAGGTGCCTGTATACAGATGCTTAGTTACTAGGCAATGAGAACTGTTTAGCCTAACATCTCTTTCTGTTGTTGAGTTTAAAGTGTTAATTAACATTTAGTAAGTCATTATTATTTGAATTATTAAATGACTTATAGATCAATGACTTCATTAAAAATATTGAAAGAATTTAAAAATTTTCAATAAATCCATACAGATTTTATAATTACGAAATAATTTCCAAGAACTAAAATGTAAAGGGTTTTTTAGTAATTCATTATTTTTTTAAATTAAAATCTCTCAATAGATGAAAAATTTTGACCATGTAAATCTGATTTAAAATATAATTTAAATAATAATTATCGCACAGCTGTGTATAAAATCACGACGAAAAATAAATTTATATACACACATACAGAAAAACGTAAACAACCCTTAAGATTTAAATACACAGAGAAAAAAATTTCGTTAAACGAAAGAATTTTTTATTTAATCAATAAAAAGAACTTGGAGTATTCTCAAGATAATATTTTATTCAATCCAGTAATATTGTTATCAAAAACACATTTTGTCATGTAATTCAATGTTACGACGAGTTTGAAAACAAATGATATTTCGTTCATTTCATTAAATAAAATGATTTTAATAAAATATTCATAAGTCCGAAGAAATATTTCATTGCGACCATTTAAAATTTCGATGTTAATGATCGAATGAAATATTTTTTGCATGGAATAAATTTTTTTCTTAGTGTAAACTCATATTAAATCAAAAATACACTGTTAACCCATGTGTGTTATTTTTACACAGCGAAACATATTTAATATAACATCACACATTTGATGAATGATGTAGTTACTTTGAATGTATTTAATAGTATGAAAAAACTAACTACAATGCCAATGAATAGTTTATATTTAACTGTTATTTATCGTTAACTTAGTATAAATTTAACTATATTTAATTCAATTATTTGAGTTTCTATCATTACGATTAAGCTTTTTATGTGCTTGATATTTCTTAAAGATTTAAATACCGTTTTTGTATAAACGAATATCAAATAAAATATCATGAATAAAATGACAAAATGATTTTTAGTACCATAAAAAATATCAGAATGTAAGTAATAATAATTATTGTATCTTCAATGCTGACATTTTATATTAACTAAACAAACCGATTGACTAGTGCTAAAAAATTTTCATGTCCAAA